CCCCCGGGGGGGGGCCCCGGCCCTGCCCCCCCCTGCCCCTGGGGTGCACGCCTGGGTGCAGGCACAGGAGTGGGTGCACCCTTGCCCATGGGCTTGTCCCAGCTCCCCCTGGCTCCCAGGGGCCCCCCAGCCCCTCAGCGAGCACCCCCACAGTGGTCCCCACTGCAGCCCAGTGACACCTGGTGCATCCCCAGTGCTAGACCAGTAGCAACCCAGTACAGGCCCAGTGCATCCCAGTGCAGCCCCGCTGCAGCTGCAAGGGAGGGAAGAGGCTGAGGGTCCCCCCCAAGCTTTGGGGTGGGGAGGGGTCGCTCCCAGACAGGCAGTGGGCGCAGATTCAGCCCAGGGTGAGGGTGCTGGGGTGGGGGTCCCTGCGTGGGTGCTGGGGGTCCCGGCCCAGGGTCCCAGGATGGGGCAGGGGGTGCCCGTGTGGAGGCGGGGGTCCCAGCCGGGGGTCCCCATGTGGGCGCAAGGATCCCCTTGTGGGTGCAGGGAATCCCTAAATGGGTGCAGAGGGTCCCCATATGGGTGGAACAGGCCCCATATAGGTGCTGGGGTCCCAGCCCAGGGTCCCTAGGTAGGTGCTGGGGTCCCTATACAGTTGAGAGGGTCCCTATACAGATGGGAGGGTCCCTATATGGGTGCAGAGGGTCCCTATATGGATACAGAGGTACCTATATGGGTGCTGGGGTCCCTGGGGTGCCCACGTGGCTTCTGGGTCCCTATATAGGTGTTGGGGTCCCCATACGGCTGCAGGGGCCCCTATAGAGCCTCTCTGTATGGGTGCTGGGGTCCCGCTGTGAGTGTGAGGGGGGGGGTCCCACTATGGGTGCAGAGGAACCCCTGGGTGGGTGCAGGAGTCCCCACACAGCGTCAGGGGCACCCGGGTGCAGAGGGGGTCCCCATGGGTGCAGGGGCTGCCTGGCTGGATGGGGGGGTCCCTGTTTAGGTCCAGGGGATCCCCATAAGGCTGCAGGGGGTGCCCATATACACATGAGGGAGGGGTCCCTATATGGTTTCAAGGGGTCCCTACATAGGTTTGGGGGGATGTCCCTGTACAATTTGGGGGTCCCCATGCAGTTTGGGGTCCCTGTACAGTTTGGGGGGGTTTCTTGGGTGGTTTGGGGGTCCCTGAAAGGTTTCAGGGGGTCCCCATATGGTTCGGGGTCCCCATATGGTTTGGGGAGGTCCCTGTGTGGTTGAGGGTCTCTGTGAGGTTTTGGGGCATCACTATACAATTTGGGGGGGTCCTGGTGTGGTTCGTGGTCCCTTTACGGTTTTGGGGTGTCCCTGTACAGTTGGGGCTGTCCCTGTGCAGTTTGGGGAGGTCCCTGTGTCCCTGAACAGTTTTGGGGTCCCTGTACAATATGGGGAGGTCCCTGTACGGTTTAGGGGTCCCTGTATGGTTTGGGATCCTCTAAAGTTTGGGGGGGTTCCCATACAGTTTGGGAGGGAGGGTGTCCCAGGGCATTTCGGGGTCCCCCCGAGGTTCGGGGTCCCTGAACAATTTTGGGGGTCCCTGTGCATTTCGGCGTCCCTGCAAAATTTTGGGGGTCCCTGGGCGTTTCGGGATCCCTGCACAATTTTAGGGTCCCTGTGCATTTCGGGGTCCCTGCACAATTTTGGGGGTCCCTGGGCATTTCTGGTTCCCCCCGCGGTTCGGGGTCCCTGAACAATTTTGGGGGTCCCTGTGCATTTCGGCGTCCCTGCACAATTTTGGGGGTCCCTGGGCGTTTCGGGATCCCTGCACAATTTTAGGGTCCCTGTGAATTTCGGCGTCCCTGCACAATTTTGGGGGTCCCTGGGC